CTGATCGCATCATCAGGATTAGATGAAGTTTAAACCGTTTTTCTAGGAATAACCCATGCTACTTTTATTTGAGTCATCAGTGTTTTTCAGACTTGGAATGCACATTACTGGTGATATGTGGGATGGTTTAAGTGGCACCAGGATGATTTTAAGTGATACCATGGATAAGACTTTTTTTTTAAATTTGGTAACACAGCAGTTTTATTTTTTATATAACAGTTTTATTTAGATATAACTCACAGCCATATAATTCACCCATTTAAAATACACAATTCCATGGTTTTTAGTATATTCAGAGTTGTACAATTACAACCACAACTGATTTTAGAACATTTTCATCCCAAAGAGAAATCTTGTCTACTTTAGCCATCACCTCCTAACTACCCTTCATTCCCCTGAAAACATCCCCACCCTCCATCCCTTCCCCCACCTCTCCATCCAACCTCACTCCCCCTTTCCCACTCCCAAACCTAGGCCGCCGTTAAGCTACTGTGTCTGGATATTTGCCGTTTAGGGATGTTTCGTATAAACAGACTATACCATATGCAATCTTTTGTGGCTGGCTTCTTTTTTTTAATTTTATATCACCTGTGGGAGTGACTGGCTTCTTTAACTTAGCATAATGTTTTCAAGGCTCATTCATGGGTAGCGTGTATTCGTACTTTATTTCCTTTTATTGTTGAATAATACTGCAACGTATAAATATACCACATTTTATTTATCTGTTTATCAGTTGATGGGCATTTGGGTTGTTTCACCTTTTGCCTATCACAAATAATACTGCTATAAATATTCGCATAGTAATTTTTTGCATAGATGTATGTTTTCAATTTTCTTGGATATTTACCCAGGAGAAGAATTTCTGAGTCACACAGCACTGTGTGTTTAACATTTTGAGGAACTACCAGGCTATTTTCCAAAGAGGCTAAGCCATTTTACATTGCCATTAGCACTGTATGAAGGTTCACATTCTTCCACAGCCTCACACACACTTGTTATCATCTGCCTTTGTTATTATAGTCATCCTAGTTGGTGTAAGATGATATCTCATTGCGGTTTTCTTCTGCATTTCCCTGATAGCCAATCATGTTGAGCATCTTTTCATGTGCTTATTGATCACTTCTAAGTCTTCTCTGGAGAAATGTCTACTCAGATTCTTTGTCCCCATTTTAATTGTGTTATTTGTCTTTTTATTATTGAGTTGTAAGAAGGGTACTTTTTCTAATAACAAAAATCACTGCTGTTTCTTTGTTAAGAGTTGCAAATGCTTCCTCCCAGTTGGTTGTTTCCTTATTTTTCCGTCAGGCAGAACTTTTATGATGGTTTTTTTTGTTTGTTTTTGTTTTGTTTTGTTTTGTTTTAGAGTGGTTTTAGGTTCACAGCAAAATTGAGAGGAAAGTACAGATTTCCCATATACCCTCTGCCCCCATGCATACATAGTCCCCCCATGACCAACATTCCCCAAGATAGTGGTATATTTGTTAAAATCTATGAATCTATATTGACACATCCTTATCACTCAAAGTCCACAGTTTACCTAGAGTTTACTCTTGGTGTTGTACATTCTATTGGTTTGTACAAATGTATTATAACATATATCCACCACAATGCTAGCATACTGGTTATTTTCATTGCCTTAAAAATCTTCTGTGCTTTCTCTATTCGTCCCTTTCCCCAACCACTAGCAACCAATGATCTTTTCAGTGATCTGGCAACCTCTGTCTTATAGTTTTGCCTTTCGAAATGTCATATAGTTGGAATCATACAGTACAAAAGCTTTCCACATTGTTTTCTCTCACTCAGTGATATGCATTTACGTTTCTCCCATGCTTTTTCATAGTTTGATAGCTCATTTCCTTTTTCATTTGTTTGTTTTGGCCCACTTTTATAAAAACGGAAACCAATTTTTGTAGCATTAATTAGTATTTTATTGTCTGGATGTACTACAGGTTATTTATCCATTCACCTACAGAAAGACATCTTGGTTGCTTTCAAATTTTGGCAATTATGATGCTATAAACATTCATGTGCAGGCTTTGGTGTGAGCATAAGTTTTCAACTGCTTTTGGTAAATGCCAAGGGGTGCAATGGCTGGATTGTATGGTTAGAGTATGTTTAGTTTTATAAGAAATCACCAAACTGTCTTCCAAAGTGGCTGCATCATTTTGAAATTCCACCAGCAATGAATAAAAGTTCTTTTTCTTTTTAACTTTTATTTTAAGTTCAGGGGTACATGTGCAGGTCTGTTATATAGGTAAACTTGGATCATGGGGGTTTGTTGTACAGATTATTTCATCACCCAGGTATTATGCCTAGTATCCATTAATTGTTTTTCCTCATCCTCTCCCTCTTCCTAACCTCCACCATCTGATAGGCCCCAGTGTCTGTTGTTCCTTTTTATGTGTCCATGTGTTCTCATCACTTAGCTCCCATTTATAAGTGAGAACATGAAGTATTTGGTTTTCTGTTCCTGCATTAGTTTGCTAAGGATAATGGCTTCCAGCTTCATCCGTATTCCTGTAAAGGACATTATCTTGTTCTTTTCTATGCTGCATAGTATTCCATGGTATACATGTACCACATTTTCCTTATCTAGTCTACCATTGATGGGCATTTAGGCTGATTTCATGTCTTTGCTATTATGAACAGTGCTGTAATGAACATACGCATGTATATGTCTTTATCATAGAATGATTTCTATTACTTTGGGTACATATGCAGGAGCAGGATTTCTGGGTTGAATATTTCTGTCTTTAGGTCTTTGAGGAATTATCACACTATCTTCCACAATGGTTGAACTAATTTACACTCCCATCAACAGTGTATAAGCTTTCCTATTTCTCCAGAACCTTGCTAGCATCCGTTTTTGTTTTTTTTGTTTTTTTTGGGTGGGGGGGGGTTGTTGTTGTTTGTTTTGTTTGTTTTTTGAGATGGAGTCTCACTCTTTTGCCCAGGCTGGAGTGCAGTGGAGTGATCTTGGCTCACTGCAACATCTGCCTCCCAGGTTCAAGCGATTCTCCTGCTTCAGCCTCATTAGTAGCTGGGACTACAGGCACATGCTGCCATTCCTGGCTAATTTTTGTATTTTTAGTAGAGATGGGGTTTCACCCTATTGCCCAGGATGGTCTCGATCTCCTGATCTCGTGATTCACCCACGTCAGCCTCCCAAAGTGTTGGGATTACAGGCATGAGCCACCGTGCCCAGCCACATCTGTTATTTTTTGACTTATTGATACCATTCTGACTAGTGTGAGATGCTATCTCATTGTGATTTTGATTTGCATTTCTGTGATGATCAGTGATGTTGAGCTTTTCTTTCATATGCTTCTTGGCCAAATGTATGTCTCCTTTTGAGAAGTGTCTGTTCATGTCTTTTGCCCACTTTTTAATGGAGTTGTTTGGTTTTTTTCTTGTAAATTTGTTTAAGTTCCTTATAGGTGCTGGATAGTAGACCTTTGTCAGATGCATAGTTTGCAAAAATTTTCTCTCATTCTATAGGTTACCTGTTCACTCTGTTGATAGTTTGTTTTGATGTGCAGAAGCTCTTTACTTTAATTAGATCCCATTTGTCAATTTTTGCTTCTGTTGCAATTGCTTTTGGCATCTTTGTCATAAAATCTTTGCCTGTTCCTGTGTCCTGAATGGTGTTGCCTAGACAGGGTTTTTATAGTTTTGGGTTTTACATTTAAGTCTTTAATCTGTCTTTGGTTGATTTTTGTGTATGGTGTGAAGAGAGGAGTCCAGCTTCAATCTTCTGCATATGGCTAGCCATTTATCACAGCACCATTTATTGAATAGGGAGTCCTTTCCCCATTGCTTGTTTTTGTCAGTTTTGTCGAAGATCAGATGGTTGTAGGTATGCAGCCTTATTTCTGGGCCCGCTGTTGTGCTCCATTGGTCTAGGTGTGTGTTTTTGTACCAGTACTATGCTGTTTTGCTTATGTAGCCCTGTAGTATAGTTTGAAGTTATATAGCATGATGCCTCCACATACCAGCATTTGGTGTTGCCTGTGATCTGGATTTTGGCCATTCTAATAGATATGTAGTGGTATCTCGTTGTTGTTTTAATTTTCATTTCCCTGATAACATATGACGTGAAACATTTTTTATAGGCTTATTTGCCATCTATGTATCTTCTTTGAAAGGGTGTTTCCTAAGACATGTGGCCCATTTTTTTTTTTGAGTTGTTTGTATTCTTATTGTTGAGGTTAAGAGGTTTTTCATATCTTATAAGTTTTTTATCTGATATGTATTTGCAAATATTTAATCTCAATCTGGCTTGTCTATTTATTCTCTTGATCATGATTTTTGCGTAGGAAAAATTTTAGATTTTATTGGTCCAGCTTATTAATTCCTTCTTTCATGGATCATGCCTTTGGTATGACGTCTAAAAAGTCATTGCCAAAACCAAGGTCATCTCTTGTTATCTTCCAGGAATTTTATAGTTTTGTACTTCACATTTAGGTCTGTGATCAGTTTTGAGGTTTTTTTGTATTTGAAAGGTGTAAGGTCTGTGTTTAGATTCATTTCTTTGTATATGAATGTCCAGTTGTTCCAGAATCATTTGTTGAAAAGACTATTTTCTGCATTGTATTGCCTTTGCTCATATGTATTGCAATGCCTTTCCTACACTGTATTACTTTTGCTCAATGATCAATTGACCAAATTTATGTGGGTCTGTTTCTGGGCTTTCTATTCTGTCCCATTGATCTATTTGTCTGTTCTTTCACCACATTGCTTAATCACTGTAGCTTTATAGTAAGTCTAAGTTGGGTAACGTCAGTCATCTGATGTTGTTCTTCTCCTAAATATTGTGTTGACTATTCTGGGTCTTTGCCTTTCCAGATGAAAACTCACATTACAATCAGTTTCTTCCTATCTACAAAATAACTTGCTGAGATTTTGATTGGAATTGCATTGAATATATAGAACCAGTTGGGAAGAACTGATATCTTAAAAATTTTGTCTTTCTATCTATAAACACGAAATATTCTGCCATATTTCCATTGTATACTTTTATGGTTTCATATTTCGCATTTAAATGTTTGACACTTTTGAAATATTTCCAAATGGCTATGCAGTTATTCCAACATCATTTACTGAATTGTCCTATAATTTGGGGTATCTTCTTTATCATATTCTGAATTACCATAGTAGTTGGACCTATTTCCGGATTTTCTATGTTGTTTCATGGGCAGCGCTATTCATTCACCACAACTACCTTGCTTTAGTTTTTGAGGCTTTATAGTATGTTTTTTTTATCTGGTTAGGCTAGCCATTTCTTTTATTTGCAAGTATCCTTCTTACCATTCTAGTTTATTTTTTCAAGTGAACTTTGGAATGATCTTATCTAATTAAAAACAAAACCCTGTGTATACTATTATGTTAGTTGTAAAAATAAGTTAATAAGAAATGACATTTTATTATTATGAGTTTTTCTATCCAAGTGTGTAGTTATTCCATTTTCTCAAGTCTTCTTTTGTATCTTTGGGGATTTAAAAGTTTTTGTTCCTATATGTATTGCACATTTTTTATTAAGTTTATTCCTGGTGTTATGTCTTTATATATGCATGGCCACTGTAATAGGGTAATTTCTCCATTATATTTTCTAACTGGCTGTTATTTGCATATGCAAAAGTATTGATTTCTATAGTTTTGAATCCTGCCACCATACTAAATTATCTTGTTTGTAATTTTTTTTAGTTAATTCTCTTGAGTTTTCCAGATATACAGTCATAAGATCTGCAAATAGTAATAGTTTTACGTCCCACTTTTCGATTTTTTTTTACTGTCAATTTCTTTCTCTCGTCTATTTAAATTGGATAATTTCTCCAGTACAATTTTCAATAACGTGAGCATTTTTGCCTTGCTCTTGTTTCTAATTAGAATGTTACAAATTCCTGAGTAATGATGATTTTGGCTTTTAGGTTGAGAGAGATATATTTTATCACGTTAAGAAAGTAACCATCTATATCTATTTTATTAAGTGTTTTTTTTAATCAAAGCTAGAACTATCTGCTCTTTGAAAGCTTTATAGAGTTTTTCCTTGTTCCCTTCAAAACTCACATTAAAATTTATGACCCAATGTAACACTATTAAGTGGTGGGGTCTTTAAGAGGCAATTGGGTCATGAGGGCTCTACCCTCATGAATAGATTAATCTACTGGTGGATTAATGGGTTAATGAATTAATGGATTATTACTGGAATGCATTAGTCATCATGAGAGTGGGTCTGTTATAAAAGCTAGTTTGGCTTTTGTGTCCCTCTCATCCTGCAATGCCTTCTACCATGTTATGACACAGCATGAGGCCCTCATCAGAAGCTGATCAGGAGCAGCCTCCCAGTCTTGGACTTCCCAGACTCCAGAATAGTAAGAAACAAATCTGTTTTCTTTCTCAATTGCCCGGCCTCAGGTATTCGGTTATAGCAACACAAAATAAAGTAAGACATCATCAATACCTGGTGCTTTTTTGGGAAAGTAGCTCTTTGATTATTTTTTTCAATTCAGTTTATTTAGGTAATTTACTTCTTCTAAAGTTAGTATTGATAAATTATATTTTTCTAGAAAAATATCTATATCATCTAGATTTTTACATTCATCTGCTTAAAGTAGAACCAAGTGGTTTCTTTTAATTTTTTAAAATTTTTCTCTGTTTCTTCATTGTTTCGCCCTTTCAAGTTCTCATTTGTGTGTTTACATTTTGACAGTTATTTCTTAATTATGTTATCTAATGATTTATGTATTTCATTGGTTCAAAGAACTAGAGCTGGGATTGATTTACTAGCACTGTTAATCTGTTTTCTAATTTGTTAATTCCCACTTTTATCACTATTGATACCTTCCTTCTAGAGTCCTTCAATATATTTTGGTATATTGTTTCTAACTTTTTGAGCATAATGCTTAACTCATTTTATTTTTTCTTTTGCTATTTAAGCTATGATTTTTTTTTCTCTGTACACTGCTTTATCTGTGTAGTAGTTTTCTAAGGCTGCCATAGCGAAGTACCACAAACCAGGTATCTTAAACCCAGTTCAAGACTCGCAGTTTTCTGAGAGCTGGAAGTACAAGGTCAAGGCATGATTAGGGTTGGTTCCCTCTGAGGGCTGTTAAGAAGAATCTGCCCCATGCCTCTCCCCCAGCTTCTGGTGGTTTGCTGGCAATCTTTGTCAGTCCTTGGCTTGTAGAAGCATCACCCTGATCTTGCCTTCTCTTCACATAGTCTTCTCCCTATATGTGTGTATCTGTGTCCAAATTTCCCCTTTTTTATGAGGATACCAGTCCTATTTGGTAAGGACACCCCTTCTAATGACTTCATTTTAACTCAATTACCTCTGTAAAGACCTTATCTCCAAATAATACATTTTGAGATAATGAGGGTTAGGACTTCAACATATGAATTTGGGTACACAACTCAACCCATAGTATTCCACAAATTCCGATAAAGAGTACTTTCATTACTGTTTTTTCCTAAAACAATCTTCCATTTTGATTTGTATTTCCTCTCTGAGCATTAAGAGAGCTTTTATAATTTCCAGATGGAAGGAGTTTTTGCTTTCTCTTTTGTTATCAGTGTTTAGTTTTAATGAATTATAGTTACTCAGTGTTATCCATACTATATCTATTTTGGGAATTTATTAAAGATTTATTTATGATTTAATATATGATCACTTTCTATGAATGTTTTCACAGCTTTTGAAAAAACAAAAAGCTTATTCTGTATTCTTTAGTTACATGGATTAATCATGTCTGTCTCATTAATTACTTAGGTATTCTATATCCTTGTTTATTATTGTCCTCTTGGTATAAAATAGACTGAGAAAAGTGAATTAAATTCCCTTTATATTAGGGTATCTGCCTATTTCTTGTGTCTAATTTCTGCTTTATAAAGGTGGATGCTATATTATTTGGCATATAGTTATTCATAAATGTTATCTTAAACTGATTTATATCATTTACATTAAAAGGTACCCTTCCTTCCTTATTTATTGATCTTTGTCTTGAATTCCATGTTGTGTGATATTAAGATATCAATCACTGCTTTCCTTCTGTTTGTATTTCTCTGGTGTATCTTTAACTCTTAAACTTTGTGAATATCTTTGTTTAGATGTATCTCTTACATATAACAGAGTTGTGTTTGCTTTGCGATTCATTCTGAAAATTATCTTAATGAAGATTTACTTTTATTAACAGATAAAATATATTTAGTCTTTGTCCTATCATATTATTTGTACTGTGTTCCTGTTGAATAATTTCATTTTTTAAATCTTTTCATTATGTGGCTATTATGGACTAAATGCTTGTGCTCCTCTCCCAAACCCCACCAAAATTTACGTGTTGAAATCCGTACCCCAATGTGATGGTATTAGGAGGTGGGGACTTTGAAGATAATTAAGTCATGAGTGAGGAGGCCTAATGAGCGAAATTAGTGTTCTTCTAAAAGAGACCCCAGAAAGTTATCTTGCTCTTTCCACCACGTGAGGATAAAATGAGAAGTCTTCAGTCTGCAGCCCTGAAGACAGTCCTCAGCAGAAGCTGACCATGCTGGCACTCTGATCTCAGAATTCCAGCTTTCAGATCTGTAAGACACAAATTACTGCTGTTTATAAACCACTCAGTCTGTGGTATTCTGTTATAGCAACCTGAACTAAGACACTATAGCTTTTATGTGTAATTATTCTAATATTAAGAAAGTCTGTATTTGTGTTCTAACAGTTGCCTTTATAAGTGTAGTATTATTTTAATTTTCTTAGCTATCTATTTCCTTAGTTAGTTCTTTATTATAAACAATAGTGAAATAATTATATTTTCTCTTTCTTTCCCTGTCATGTTTCTTCGTTCTCCCACATAGCTCAGAGATGAGGACACCACTGATAATCAATAAATATTGATTAGCTGTTACTACTTTCTAAAAACAAAACACAACAAAATGCACCCACAATGTCAAGAAAAGAGATTTCATTCTCTTTCCTCTTCTGCCTGGATATTCCACTCTGGTTTGTCTAGAATCGTCTCCCACTCCTGTTTGAAAACATTCTCTCTGACCTAAAGACAGGAAATTTAATACCTTGGAGATAGATAAAGATTGAGTCAATGCAAGAATATATGACACATTCATATTTCCCTGTTACATCCTGATTTCTTTATTGCTCAGGCTCTGAATATGGCCTAAAACCAGAGATTAGTGGGTGAAATCTGAACTGAATCTCTACAGGGCCAACATTCATCAAATGCTGACATTCCAAGGTGCTGGGTCCACAGGACTGAGAACACAAGTCAGGAAATAGAAGCAAATTTTAGGGACTTACCTGATTATCAGAACGAGTCACATGGCCTATGGCATCTGCCTACTGCATATAGCATGGCCATAGGTCTCAGGGAACAAGGCTGCTTTATGCCTGATGAACCAAGGTATTTCAGTTTGGGTAACAAATTATAGAATCATCCCACCTATAACCCACACACATTAAATGTGACAATTAGGTCATATCTAATTAGGCCAGTGATAAGGTAGCCTTGACCATCATTATCACTGTAAATAGAAAGCACACACCTTGATGTTGCCATTGATTGGCTGCCTTTCTGGCTAAGTCTCAGTTTCCTCCTCTGTAAAATAAAGACAAAAAGGGGATGAGTGCATTGATCTCAAAAGTGTATTTCATTGGCATATCAGCATTGGAGTTTTACATAGTTCAACCATTTTTCATTATGATCACATTATGTAGGTCATGGTTATTTTAAGGCTTAGAACAAAAATGCCCAGAAAAGTGCTTTCTAAGTCATGTGACAGTGGTTGAATGACAAGCACTGTTACTATGGAAGATTTCCTGGCACTTACTTTCTTTTGGAAAGAAAAAAAATGAAACATTTCTCTTGATTTTTACAAGAGTTGAGTTCACGGAAAGAAATCTTCCACCATCCCAGGGATGTGCACAAGGTCTATAGGATTCATGAGGACAGCAGTACCCGGTTTGTAGGAATCAGGATCTGAGCAGGGTGTCTTTTGTGCTCACAGAAATTCCAAGCATACAATAGTTTCAGGTGACAGCCAATTCGTGGGAGACTCTGGGGACCTTAATTAAAAGGTCAATTTTTTTGAAAATAAAATTATTTAACTCAGGATTTTGACAGTGTGCATTAGAAGTATTCATGATCTGTTCTCTCTGGCTGGAGTTCAAACTAACTGAAGCACAGACTTCTGCCTCTAAGGAATGAGTAACAAAGACATTCACTGGAAAAAAGTAACTAATACATATCCCAGACCACCCTTCCCTTGTCCACCTCCATCTCTTGTATAGAATCTATCTTTAAAGGAAAAATGTCTAGAGATGAGACCCAGAGCTTTGGATCCACCTGCTATTTTGGGAAATTTTTCTAAGTATCTTAGTTATACTACATCCTTTCTCTTTCCCTACCTAGAATGACTTATTCATTTGCCTAATCCATAAATTCCACCCTCTTAGATGAGAGGTCAGCACACTTTTTCTCAAAGGGCCAGGTGGCAAATACAGGCTTTGTAGACCATATGATCTCGGTTGCAACTACTCAGTTTTATGGTTGTAGTGCAAGAGTTACTGTAGACAACACATAAACAAATCGGCGAGGCTGTATTCCATCATAATTGTATTTATGGACACTAAAACTTGAATTTCATATCATTTTACTGGTCATAAAATATTCTTCTTTGGATTATCTTTCAACCCACTGAATATGTGAAAACCATTCTTAGCTTATGGGTCATACAAAAATGGCGGCAGATCAACATACTTTGCCAACCCCTCCTCTATATTGTGAGGAACTTGAGAGCAGGGCTGAACGAGAATCATCTCGCTATCTCCTAAGGCTGGGTTTCACTGCCTGACACTAGAAGACATCCAAAACTGTGGAGGAAGAAGTGAGAGACAAAGGCCAGAGAAAGCACAGCAAGTGAATCCATCACACACCCTTGTTGCAAGGGAGGTCAGTCTTTATGGTGGTTAGCAAGGGAGGAGGGAGTTGGGAATTGTTTGGGAATGGGGCGAGGGGAGTGGGGCCTTAATAGTGTCCATCTCACATATTGTTGTGAGGGTAAGTGAAGCAAATGTGTATAAAGCATTGCACAGAAGCACTCAGTCAATGGAAGCTACTATTATCAATAGGGCAAGCTTCAATATTTTCAAAATCATAAAACATAATCTCTACATTGCCAGTATAAAAACTGCTATTTCTCAAAGTTAGAAAGCCTCACACCCTCATTTCACAATGCCAATAATTACATACATTTAAGGTGAATGAAGACTGAAATAGAAGAGAGAGAGAGTGTCTGTGAGAGATATTCAGCTATTGATGTATAGCATTCCATATGTACATAGAGTTACACACACACAAACACACACACACACACATGCATGCATTAAGAATAAATGAGGAAAGCCAGGTGTTGACAGATAGGTTCTGCATTCTGAATGTTAAATTAGATAACTCAAGCACTTTCCTCAGGCTAAAATCCTGAGTCATCCTTCTCCGTTTCTCTTTCCCTTTCCCTAGTTAGTCAAAAAGTTCTGTAGATTTTGCACTGCAATAAGCCTTCTATTTGTTCTCTCTTTTCCACTGCCCAAGTGCAACCTTTGTCACCTCTTATCCAGACAATTGCAATAACTTCCTAAGTATACCCCTGTCTCTAGTCATTCTGCCCCCTACCAAAACAATCCATTCTCACCTTCTTGCCAGTTGTCTTCTTAAAGCAAACCTCTGACCATGCCACTTTCTGGCTTGAAAAATTTAAATAGTTCCCGGTTGCCTACAAAGTCCCAATGCCTCAAATATTATTCAAGGATGTCCTTACTTGCCCTCAACCTCCCTTTCTCACCTTCTCATTTCCTTACACACTCATAGTCCAGCTTACTTAGAAACTGTTCCCTGTTCTCTCAGCAAATGCCTCCCCTATGCTTCGTGCATTTATCTTAAATCACACTAATCCTTCTTTGCTCTTCTACATCCTACCTAGAGGGATGACAGTAGCTTCAACTCTGTCTCATGGAAGACTACAGAGCACCTAGAATTTTATGGACCATAATTTGTGCAAAATTATCTGATTAAATCAATAAAGCTTTCAGTAATTCCTTCTGATGTTTTTCTAGTCCTGGGACATTTAAATGTGCTGATGACTGACAATTTAAAATTGAAATGTTCCATCAAATGAGCTGGGAAAGAGAGAGTTGATTCAGGACAGCAGGGTCAGGATCAGGACTGGACAAGGAAGAGGCCTGGTTGCAGCTCGGTTTGGTTCTCTTCCTCCCTCTAAATAGAGATGTCAGATGAGCTTTCACATAGGAGATAGACATGTACTCTGTGCTGACCCCAAGTGGGAAGGAAGCTATTATTATTGGTGCCAGGCATTATACTGGATGTGCCATTTTGCTGCCCAGTTAACCATCCTAATATCTCTTAAGGTAGGGTTTCTCATTATCTCTATTTTCTATCAGAAATGAGAGATCCAGAAGTGAGTAAATTCTTAAAGTCACAGTGTTGGGATTCAAAAACAAGTGTATCTGACTCCAAAATCCCAGTCTTTGCACTTATCCAAGATCATACAGCAGAATAACTAAATTTATTTGTTATTAATTTTTAAAATTGACACATAATAATTGAACATATCCCCTGGGGTACATAGTGCTGTTGCATCTATTCTCAGCTTTTTGGCTATGATCACGTATAGCACAGTGATATACATATAATGCAATACATATAATATAGTAATCAGATCAGGAAAATCAGCATATACATTATCTCCAACATATATGACTTCTATGTGTTGAGAACCTTCAATATCCTCCTTCTAGCTATTTGTATATTCTAACTATGTAATACATTATTGTTAACTAAAGTCATCCTACAGTAGTAGACAACAGTAGAGCTTATTCCTCCTATCCAGTTATACTTTTATATCCTTTAACAAATCTTTCCCCGTTCCCCACTTTCCTTATCTTCCCCCACCTCTGGTATCCTCTGTTCTACTTTTACTTCTATGAGATTGACTTTTTTTTTTTTTTTAACCTTCTACATATGAGTAAGAACATGCAGTGTTTACCTTTCTGTTGCTGGCTTATTTTACTTAATAAAATGTCCTCCGTTCCATCCACATTGCTTCAAATGACAGGCTTTCATTCTTTTTTATGGCTGAATAGTATTCCATTGTATATATATACCACAATTTCCTTATCCACTTATCTGTTGTGGGACACCTAGGCTGATTCCATTTCTTGGCTATTGTGAATACTCCTGCAATAAACATAGGGGTGCAGATGTTTCTTTGGTATACTGATTTTCTTTCTTTTGGATAAATATCCAGTAGTAAGGTTGCTTGATCATATGGTAGTTCTATTTTTAGTGTTTTAAGGAACTTTCATATTGTTCTCCATAGTGACCATACTAGTTTATATTCCCACCAAAAGCATGTAAGAGCTCCCTTTTCTCCATATCCTCACCAACGTTTGTTATTTTTTGTCTTTTTGATAATAGCCCTTTTAACTGGGATGAGATAATACCTTATTGTGGTTTTCATTTGCAGTTCCCTGATGATTAGTGATACTGAGCATTTTTTCATACACCTGTTGGCCATCTGTGTGTTTTCTTTTGAGAAATGTCTGTTCGAATTATTTGCCTATTTTTTAATTGGATTGTTTGGATTTTTGCTGTTGAGATGTTTGAGTTCATTATATATTTGGGATATTAATCCCGAATATGGATTTGGGATAGAGAGTTGGATGGAGAGTTTCCAAATCTTTCCTCCCACCCTATAGGTTGTCTTTTCACTTTATTGTTTCCTTTGTTGTGAAGAAACTTTAGTTCGATATAATCCCATTTGTTTATTTTTTCTTTTGTTGTCTATGCTTTTAAAGTTTTATTCATAAAGTCTTTTCCTAGATCAAAACCCTGAAGCATTTATCCTATGTTTTATTCTAGTAGTTTTATAGTTTTAGGTCTTCCATTTAGGTTTTTTACCCATTTTAAGTTGAGTTTTGTATAGCAGAGAGGTGAAGGTCTAGTTTTATTCTTCTGCATATGGATATCCAATTTTTCCAGCACCATTTATTGAAAAAACTGCACTTTCCCCAACAGGTGTTCTTGGTACCTTTGTCAAAATTAGTTGGCTATAGATGTGTGGATTAATTTCTGAGTTATCTATTCTGTTCTATTGGTCTATGCTTCTGTTTTTATGTTAGTACCATGCTCTTTTGGTTACTACAACCTTGTAGTATATTTTGAAGTCTGAAATAGTGTAATGCTAGTGTAATGCCTCCATCTTTTTTTTTTTTTCTGAGAATTGCTTTGGCTTTGGCTATTTGGAAGATTTTGTGGTTCCATAAATATTTTAGATTTTTTTTATTTCTATAAAAAATGTCATTGGCATTTTGATAGGGATTGCACTGAATCTGTAGATTACTTGGGTAGTGTGGTCATTTTAATAATACTAATTATTCTAATCCATGAGCATGGTATGTTTTCCATTTTTTTATCCTATTCAATTTCTTTCATCAGTGTTTTGTAATTCTCCTTATAGAGATCTTTCACCTCTTTGGTGAAATTTATTCCTATGTATTTTTTCTATAGCTTTTGCAAATGGG